GCTCCTTCAGCCGCGCGGGCAGGCTGCCGCGGCTCCCCTGGCTGCCAGGCCCCTTCTCCGGTGGGGCGCATCCCCCCAGCTACGCCAAACCCGGGCGGCCGCTGGCGAGGTCTCCGACAGCCCAGGCCTTTCGCCGGGGCTCGGCCTGGCCCCCAGCCCGGGCACAGTCCTCAGCCTGCCACAGAAAATGCAAACCGCAGCAAACCCAAGCGCCATCTGTGCCTTCGCTGCCTTCCCTCGGAGGCAGTTAACTGCTCTGCAAACAGCACGTCCACACGCATTTGGACTCATTTCTTTCTGTTACACACGTTGAGGTTTCTTTCACTCCAAGCCTGAAGTTTGGGAACATTTTCTCTGCTGAACCTGTTTTTTACCTTTTGCTCAGAATCTGTGATTAGTCTCCTATCAAGTACGAATTTTCTGCTATTACTTCACACACCACATTATTCACAGCGGGAGCACGAATATTAGGAAGTACCACGCAATATTTTGTGCACCGTTCGCAGAGCACACGGATAATTGTTGCCTCTCTGCTCTGGCTCCACTGCAGGGCTCTGAGCAAACGTGCAACGTCTCTATTTAAGCTCTCCAAGCAGCAGGAATCAATGCCTTCCCAATGCTTCCTGTATGTTTTTAGTCCTTTCACAACCCAATAATGAATTCATTAAATTAGTATTACCCAACGTGCATAATCTGGAGGATCTGGATACTGAATTAAAACATCAAATACCTTTAGCTTTAAATGAAAACTACATAAAAGCATTTCAGGCATCCCTTTGGCTATCACTTACAGCCAGTATGAATACTGCTAGAAAAGCTATTTTCTTGCAGATGTGGAATTCAATGGGAAAGACTGACTCGTGTAGCAACATCAATCAAAACGTCGGCTCCGCTGGCAGCTCTCGACAGTAAGGCAGGTTCAAAGGTCACAGGATAAAGAAAAAGCCAAGCTCTGGTTCAGCTCTAATATCTCCTCGCTAGAAGTCTTGCAAAGGTACCTACCCCCCTTCTGTACTAGGCGGCTTTCATTAATCTTCTTGCCATCTTTTTTAACTAGTCATGCAGAACCGCTCGATAGCGAGACATATAATGGGGAGGCCCTGTGCCTATTACCAGGTTAACACTCTGTTAAGCCCCAGTGCAACAATGGAATAAGAATTTAAAGGAAATCTTAAGCTGCAGGGTGCAAAGCAGGCAATTAAATTACAAACCGAAGTTACCAATGTACTCTGTGACCTACAGAACACCTTTGTTTAGACTACCTTAATATTAAGGATATTTTGACCTAGCAACTGAGATGCATCTGCTTTATTAAAACAAAAAAAAAAAGCAGAAAAAGGATCACAGAGAACATTTCTTCAGTGTTTCAGGTAAATTATCAAGTAAGTGCGACTTCTGCAGCTATCGTAAAACGCACGTGAATGGAAGAACCCCGCGCATTTCGAAAACCGTAAGTCTGCCCAACCGATTAGCCTCAGCGCCACTGAAGGCCTGCCCTGAGGCCTGCTCGCCCCTCCGCGCATCCGCGCCGGCGCAGCGCTCCCGCGGTGCAGGCGCGGCGGCAGCCTGGTAGCCCCGGCGCTCGGAAGGGACGGCCACGACGCATCCATCACAGCTGCGCTTGGCCCACAGTGCACTTTGTAAAAAGCAGCGGTCAGTGACACTGAAGTTTCTCCCTTGTCCAGGTAATGTAAGAGACATTAACAGAATCAGATTTCCTTTAAATTACACTATTGCAAAGGGACATAATTGTATTAAACATATTATGTTGCTTCCTTAAGACTTTATATTATGTACACTTAATTGAGATACAAAGCTCTTTTCAGCTATAAAAATGACAACTACTTTATTAAGGCTTAAATCTTATTTCTCAATGATAGGATGCTTCCTTTCAAGATTCAAAACATTCAGAATCTCTCGTGATAATCAGACCGAACCTGATTTAAACAAGCCGTTTATACACAGTGTTTTCAGGTTCTAATGGCATTTGATCGAGCCAGCAGGGCTATTACCTCTTCCCTCTGTCTAAATTCAGGGAGTCTGATTTAATTTACAAATAAAAATTCAAATGCTGACCCAGGCCTACCACAAGGGCAAACAAAAATCATCAGCCATTCCTGCCTACAATACCCACACTAATGGCAAATTAGATGCCCAGGTTTTCTGTTTTCATTTTCTGTTTTCACCGAATGCAGCTCTAAGTTCTGCGAACTCACAGCACAGGAAAGCTTCCGCCCCATCCAGAACGACTCCGAGTCCGCCTGTAAATATTCACAGCACGCCACCTCCCAAGTCGTCGTGCCCTTTAACACGCACACAAGTGCCACTAAAGCTTCGCTGTATGAACCTGTCTTTTCAGAGAAAACTAACAGAAAATAAGCACGAGGCTCTCCACTACACCGATACACAATTTCTGTGTTCACGTTTCTGCAGAAAAGTACCAGTAAAAGCTCTGAAATCTCTTTAATCTGCAGAAAGTAAGAGCTAACTGAATATTGAACTCCGTTAATTCCCATGTTCAGAGGAGCAATTGCTGCAGAAACCTCCAGCTATACTGATCCCAGCGACCAAACTCCACTCCCAGCACCCCTGGCCTTTACTGAAAAGTAAGGTCACATTTGGAGGCTTCTGCAAACCCTTCGCCTCTCTTCAGAACGACGAGAAGTCAGTCTAGCGAAGCAGCACGCAGCCTTACTGCAACCCCAACTGCCAAGGTCTAGGGAAGGCAGGCAGCCGGGTAAAACATACCCTGTGTTTCCACCCGGTGTAACTGTACAAGCACCGCTACATGTGCAGAGCACTCCTGAAAGACGAGATGGAGCATGTTTGTGTTACAAGAGATAAAAACATGAAAACAAAATATATTGCAGAACTCAAAGACCTTATCTTTACTCAGCCTCTCTTTCTTTGCAATAATTCATTCAAGGAAGATCTGGGAATAATTTTTTATGTAAACTCTGGTACAAACATATATCACTATGCTGATAAAAATCACAGACAAAACTTGTGAAATACAGTGCGTTTCATTCCTTTATGCTACTAAAATAACTTTTTTCCATTTAAAATTCAAGAGATACTGATCTGCTGTTAAGAGTTCCCCAAAATGTATCATTCTGAAATGTCACACTAAAAGTCTCTTCTACTGGCCTAAAATAATGACTTTTGGAACATCTTTAGTGAATCGGGAAGAGGTCAGCAGATTTCAGGAGGAATTATTTTCTCCTTTTGGAACTATGCTGAACACTTATTTAATAGGAAAAGTTTATGACAGCCACGTGAAAATGAGTAAATAAAAATCCTCAGTATCATATCAGCATCATCATTTGCCTAGGGACATGGTTTAGAGGTGGGCCAGGCAGGTAGGTTAACGGTTGGACTCGATGATCTCAGAGGTCCTTTCCAACCTTAACGATTCTATGATTCCATAAAGGTTGCCTTTGTCGTAACCTGTCAGCATCCTCTCCAAAGTGACCACGATTCTTCATTCCATGATTTCCACGCAAAGGTACTGCCCCTCCACTGCTGGACTCCATTTGGGGGCTGAAATTCGGTCCCTTATTTCTGCCTGGCCTGGCAGGATTTGGGCACAAGCATCAGCTCCTACCGCAGCGGGTGCTGCCTCTGGGGCTGAAGAGCCCCGTCCCCTGTGGGACGCCGCTCTGGGGGTGTCCCGGGACACCCCGAAGGTCTCAGACTAGTGTGTTGATGGAAGTGTGAGCTGGAAACCTCGGCTTTCAAGGCTGGCTTTTCAGATACAGCCTCATTTTGTGGGCACAATTTTACCATCACAAGTGTTTGCATTTGAAATGAAATGCGGCTACAAACTCAGAGGTGTTAATATATCTACAAGTGCAAACCTGCACCTTGAACTATAAAGGTAACCGTTACACATTTTGGACTGCCTGGTCATGGATCACACCTTCCCAAGGACCATGAAATCTTGCTTGGAGAGACAGAAAAGGAAGACAATGACTGGACTAAGAACATGGGAGTAGGAAGGGGTAATGAAGGGGAGAAGGATATAGTTCAATAATTGCTGATAAAATCTGTGGCAGCCATAAATTTACTCTTCCAAGAGAATTCAACAGATCATTACCTCTGTAAATATGTATCACATAACTCTCCCTCTCTGTCACCTTGCAGATAAGTACTTAATACTTAGCATCCCTACCCTGCAAAAGCACAAGTGTAATAAAATCCATCCGAGCTTTTGAACCGCAGTTACTTTTTGATAGTAGATAGTTACATTTTGGCACCACCGGGAGACATTGCCCAAGTCCCCCAGGGCCTGTCTTGGGCTTTTTCAAACAAATTTTACAGGTATAGACTCTCATTACTGCCCTGACACAACAAGCAAAAGCACTCGGCTTCTGAGGTCACGCTCCAAACATAGCAAACTCTGACCTCTTGTTGATGACTGGCTGAACTGGGACGTCCAACCCGTCCTCCGGCCAGCTTGGCTATCACCGCTGGCCAGGCACCGTCACTGCTTTCCTGAAACCGAACTCCCAGAGCAGCACGTCGGAATCCCGCTGACCCTGCAGCCACGGCTGAAGCAAATTTAGACTGAGCTGATACTTACTGCATGTCGGAGATCCTCAATTGCCCCTAAGAAATTGTTTAAAACCAGTCTGGATGTTAAGAAGTTCCAAAAAATTGCAAGTATGTTGAAACATGTATTTGACTGCTGTGCTACAGGGCTAGAGACCAGCTAGGCAAAGCCAGTCTCCTTGGTACGACAGTGTTAGCAGCTACTGATAGTGGGCAAGAAGCACTCCTCACGATGCCATTAGCTGTAAGCAGCATTAAAAGGACACCCATAAAATGTGGATCTGTTTATGTTGTGTTCTCTATAACAGAATCGAGTCAGATTAAAAACATCCTATAATGAATAAAATACACCTATAGAAAGAAAAGGACATGGTAGCAATAATTCTTTGGGCATCTAACACATACAGGGAGGGAGAGAAGAGAGAACATAAATAAAAAGGACTACTCACTGGGGCTTTTTTCTTCCGCAAGGTCACAGGCACAGAGGAGTTCAGAATCGATTGAAATGGGTTTCTGCTTAATCCAAAACTTAGTGCTGGCCTTCTGATTAGTAACAGGGTCTATCTCTACCTTGTCTCCAGAAATACCTGAGATGAGAAAGAATAGAGAGCCACAATAGTGAGCTGTTTAAGCAATTTGATATCAGCTGTTTGACGCACTTTATAAATCTTAAATGGGATGAAAGTATATTGCCCTTTTGGGCTTTTTGAAAGCACGGGAGCTTTTGAAACCAAAAGCAAATGGTTATCAAACTGCATTGATAATCTGCATTTTATTCTCCTGCATAAGCATACCAACAAGAAAGAAACATCACAGAAAAAATTCTTCTCAACACATACAGAGCTCTTCTGGAAGCAGTAGCTACACGAGCTGCAAGATTTATAAAAAGATACTGCTAGTTTTTCAGTCACCGCTATTATATGTAATAGACACTATCACACACCGTCCCTGTTCTATCTCCTATAGAGCATATACGCCGTATCCGCTATACGAGAGGACAACACCCATTCGCAGCACTACAGAACCGACATAAACAAAGACATCCAGTCCCAGAGATCCTGCGCGTTTTCACACTGCTGGCATTTTAAAGCCAGCTCTAATTAGGCTGCTTTGAAAGCAAGCTGAGGATTTGTGTAGCTCCTGGCACAGGCGCCAGGCCCTGCTTCCCAACACGGGCTTCCCCAGATGGCTGGCGCTTCCCTACTGCTGCGTGTAGGCCGCCCTGGCCACGGCGAACCCTGCAGCAGACCTTTTGTGAGCCAGAGTAGAAAATTCCTCCACCACCCCTCTGCGCATTACTCCCGCAGTCGTGCAAGAGCAGCCTTTCCAGCGGGAGGCTGCTGGGCGGGCTGAGGGCTGACCGCGCTGGAACCGGCCCGGGACAGGACGCTCGCCATAATTTACAGCGGCCTTTATCACGGTATTGCGGGGCAAGAGCCCCGCTGCGCCGCGCTGGTGAACAGCAGCTCGTTGTTCAGTGGCTGTTGCCACGACCGAGCAAACTTCCCCGTGTGCTTTTTACATCGCGGTGTGTGGAGCCTTAAACATAATTACATCGCTTCGGTCATGAGTTATAGGTGAAGCTCATGAGAAAGCAACAAAAGGAAGCAATACAGGAAAAAAGTATTTAAACATCATTTAACTCTTGCATCTCTGGAAAAACAGCAGAGAGAACCTTTTCCCTCTTGAGGGTTTTGGCTATGATGCTTTCAAATACATTACGCTTGGCTCATCTGAAGCACAAGAAAACCTAAAGCAGCTGATGATAGAACTTTTAAGAGATGTGACAAAATAAAAGTATGCCACACACATAACGACTCTCCCAAGCCCTCCCAAATTAACTCAGTATTTCCTAAAGTCTGGTCATAGCCGCAGAATTTGCAAACCACGTTCGTTTTTATTTCATGCAACTCTCAAAGGAAAGCAGACAGACAGCGAGGAGCGGGCACCTCCAGCGGGCGCCGTGCTGCAGCCCCCTCACCAACAGAAGGTGCCCTTCCTTTTAACCCTGCCCACTCGGACAGGTTATAACAACGGCACCCCCCTTCTGTTCATCCAAGAATGCGCTTTGTCATTAAACATACGTCACATCAGAGAGATCGCATTTCAATTAAGCATTGTATCAAGAGTCTAATTAACACAAGGACTGCTAGAACTAGGTAATTGGAGCAGGCTGATGCTGTATCTGGAGCCCATTTTGTTTTGTAATTTAATTTTGGACAGATTATTTAAAATCGGCATTGTTATTTCACTGCACTGGTTAATTATTCAAAATGGCATTTTCTGTAGTTTAAGGAAAATATGCAAAATTGATGGTACAAGTTCTTATTTTCTCGCTGAAAAAAAAGTCAAGGCAAGTTCTAAAAATAAAGGTGCAAATTCTTTGTGCACGAGGGTTGTTCCCCACGCATTCCTCTAAAAACGTCACCCCTGAAAATATCCTCAAACATTTTTCACTGTATGGTCCTGCAACTTCAGAATTCACAGTCAGTCAATATTGTTAATGCACCTTGTTAATTTGATAGGATTTGTCAGGTAACTCCACTGGAAAATTATATAAAACTGTTCCAGATGAACAGATGATAGTGACATGAATTAAAGTGATAGAACAATAGTGGAATATAAACCAGAAATGACACCCAAAGTGGCTGTTGATTTATTGCCATCCTGAGTTTGGTTCTGGGCTTCCATGTATATTAGTGCTACAAATCTGGGTCCATTTAGCAGAGAGATGCTCATACATACATCACCAGCTCCTGCTCCAAGCCAAGGTCACTCCCCATTGCATCAATCTTTTCAGCAGAGGCTACTTCACCAAGCATGGATTTTGTAACCATCTCAGATGTAACAGACTTCCTCCTCTTTCATCTTTTTTTTATCATGTAAAATACACTTTAACTTCTATTATTTTTATCTGCAAATTGTTGCTGTATACTTCATCCATTATTTCTGTATCTCGACATCGCTGGCTTAAGCTCACTCACATCCAAAGAGCGCGTTGACAAAGAATGTTGTCTTTTTTGTGTTATTGTTCTCACAATCTGTATGTGTTGAAACCTAAAATCAAAACAGTATTATGTATGTGGCTTCTGCAGTCTCTGTATCGCAGCACAAATTAGTCATACTCAAAAACCGAGTCAAAATTCTTCTTCTACTATTTTTTTAATTCATTCATTTTATCAAAAGAAATGCCATCGATACATTAGTCCAGTAACACTGTTCTGTTCTTGCTTCCTTTGTTGGGGTCTGCAACTGCCCCCCCCTTTCTGAAATACTTGCCAGCAGTAATTTTCCAAGACAATATGCTTCTTCTAGTTTTGCTAATGTGATGCCCAAGCAAATGTGTCTTATTCCTTCACAACATGCGAGAACCTTTGTAAAAATGTTGATAGCACTACGGTATGTGCATTACACTGTAACATGAGCTAAAACATAAACCCCCCGACCTTAAACTGCCACGGCTAAAGATTTCCACTGGAATAAAACCACCAGTCAAAAGGTGGTCGCTCCTCCCATGGTCATCTACGTATCGCTTTTTACTGTAGAAGAACTATGCACAATTTACAGAAGACCAAGCTTATATTTTCAGTAAACCTTGCCTCAAATTCAATGCTCAGGCCTCAAAACAGCGAAAACGTTTCAAAAAGTACCAGTGTGCAAACAGTAATTCACAAACATCGCTCACACTGTTGTCACCTGCAACTGAAAGGAAATCCAGTGCAGAGCCTACCCAGATCCAGCGACGTGTGATGTCCCACAGCGTCGGAGCAAACGGCAGGGAGCGGAGGTGAGCTACGCTGAGGGTTTTCCCCACCACTTCGGCGTTCTGTCGCACGTGAACACCCTTCCACATGAAGCCTGGGAAACTGGGACTGGCCCCCAAAACCACACAGATATTTCCAGTGCAACCACCGTGCCGTATTTCAGCTAGCCTGACAGCCGATACCCTCCCGCACAGCTACCGACACCGTCGATACTGTCTGTAAGGAGCAATGGAATTATTCTGGATTCTCAGCACCCGCTAGGAAAACTGTGGCTTTGCTACGGCTGTTACGTAGGACTGATGACATAAAAATGCCACAGAGAAAAGTCTTTGCAACCGGCCATCATTAAACTGACCCAGGATAGCTCCCGAACCACAGCTACTGAGGAGCCATGAAAAAATAATTAGACATCGTTTTTTACATTTCAGGTTGTATGGAGCAGTCTGTCACTCGCAGAAGATGAACACATTAACGCTCAGCAGCCCTAATCCAAAGAGCACCTCAATGCTTATTTTACCAGCATTGCTCTTTTAATATCTTTAAAAAATTCATGAGAAAACCCAGCAACATACACTTATTTTGACTTTATTTAGAGGTTTTGATGCTGTACTTTTGCCCAAACGTTGAATATCTCACTGGGGTTTTCTTTCATTTTTAAAAAGTAATTACATTATAAAAATCACATTGCCAGTGTACTGCCGTCAAAAATACACAAGTTCACATACTGTTATAAAAGGGAAATTTTATGGTCCTTACACGACTGGACAGGGTCAGCTCCTTCACTGTTACCCAAGTTAAGCCATTTGTTTCATTTAACAGCTATTCTCCCTTAACCATTTATCTTTAGTGATCTGTCATGACCTTTTCAAGCTCTCATTTCTGACACTTTCCAGATACAGTGAGTCAAACTTCACTGGAAGCAAACTATCACCCCCAGACAGTTGGCTCAAAAGCAGAAAACATGCCCAGCGCTGTCCTGCTGCAGCACCAGCGTATAAATCCTTCCCTAACAAGACAGTTCAAAATAAACTAAGAAAGCCTCTTCTGTAAAAATCTGAGAGACCTATACTTTTAGATGTGCTTAAGGATGGAGGAATGAAGAGACTGCAGTGACAAAAATACAGAAACTGCTATAGTGTACATTTAACAATTCTACTGAATTCTACAGAAAAAATATATTTTGTAAACATTATGGCACTTAATATTTTCCTGCT